GGTTTCTGCAGGCGGTCGTTACACAGTACTTCTTTGCAGTGATGGGAGTGTGGTAGCTTGCGGAGACAATCATAACGGACAATGCAACATTCCACCGTTGAATGAAGGAGTGTCATACACCCAAATTTCTGCAGGCGGTGGTCACACCCTACTTCTTCGCAGTGATGGCAATGTCGTAGCTTGCGGAAGAAGCAATGAAGGACAATGCAACATTCCACCTTTGGATGAAGGAGTGTCATACACCCAAATTTCTGCAGGCAATAGTCACACCATACTTCTTCGCAGTGATGGGAGTGTGGTAGCTTGCGGAGCCAACGGCAACGGACAATGCAACATTCCACGTTTGGATGAAGGGATGTCATACACCCAAATTTCTGCGGGCATTTATCACACAGTACTTCTTTGCAGTGATGGGAGTGCTGTAGCTTTCGGAACCAACGATCAGAGACAATGCAACATTCCACCTCTAGATGAAGGAGTGTCATACACCCAAATTTCTGCAGGGGTTTTTCACACAGTACTTCTTCGCAGTGATGGGATTGTGGTAGCTTGCGGAGCAAACTTTCTTGGACAGTGCAACATTCCACGTTTGGATGAAGGAGTGTCATTCACCCACAATTTTGCAGCCTATTATCACACAGTACTTCTTTGCAGTGATGGGAGTGTGGTAGCTTGCGGAGACAATCATAACGGACAATGCAACATTCCACCTTTGGATGAAGGAGTGTCATACACCCAGATTTCTGCAGGCAGTGCTCACACTGTACTTCTTCGTAGTGATGGCAATGTCGTAGCCTGCGGAAATAACAATGAAGGACAATGCAACATTCCATCACTGAAATCTTGGCGTGAGCTTTTGACTTTTGCAAGCGCCAGCTGTCGGTATATGTGCGATTCTAGCTTCGTTCCCCAACTTCCAATCCCAGATCGTGTTTTGCAAATAAATTTTGTTTGTGAAGGTGATACAGTGGTGCTGAGATGCTTGAACATGGCTGGGTGTGAAGTTCTTTGCTTGAATGCATGCGGATCTGACCTGGTTTCGGAGACTCATCAGCGGATAGCGAGGGAATTGGCGGCGCCTCTCCGAAGTGTTCGGGCGGTTTTGCCAGGAGGAAGGCTGTTGGCTCGCGTGTCGCAGGCGAATCCATCTTCCACCCTTGCAGATATGATTTTGGGTGAACAGTTTGGCTCGTGATACTGCAACAAAGTGTGCGGTCCAGCATTCATAGTTCCATTGCATTGAGTTTGCTTTTGAGACACACCATGTAAAGAAATAGGCCAACACTATTTGTTCCAAGTCCAATTTCGATCTTGTTTGTATTGAATATGTATGACAGGTCCGGCTAGTACAAGGAGTGTACAAGGTAGAGCTCCAGTTCCTGATGCGACATCTCAGAACACGTTGCCGAGCGGGAAGAAAGACTTTCTGAAGCACAAGATTTCTCGTTGTGCGTGGGAGTGCGTTTCAAGCAGTAAACGGTCAACAAAACCCATGTGAATAGCCGGAATTAGCTGGAATATACTCAGGCCATCAAACTGAGACTGTCGATGTTTGATCCTTTCGCAAAGCTATATACTACACTTACTACACTTTGTGCAACTTAACACCACTTTCAACGTCTTTTCTACATGTGCACACATCATCACATGTTCTGCACATCTCAAGTCCTCGAACATTGCTCAGGTGTGCTGCCACCGGGAAGGTGGATGGGAGCTGCGGCAGCTGCGGCCCAATTGTTCCCCAGTTGTCAAGGGCTTGGCTAAACCCTGGGAACATCCAAGCAAGTTAGGTTTAATGGCGACCTTCAGCTCGCTGGATCAAAATACCAGGTCTTCCACAGAGATCAGAAATCAAATCGATAGATTTTAAAGTTCCACCAGAAAAAGAAAAAAGTAACACAATTCAGAAGCTATCAATGGTCTACAAGTAGTTTCTTCATTCAAAAAACATAGAGTGGTGTGCTTCCCCATTTTGGACACACCACGACACCCATCTATTCATCATTCAATGATTAGTCCATCTGTTTGATGGATCAAACACCATCAGAATCGCTGATTAAAACCCATATGGTTAGTTTCCAAAGGAAGTTTAGTCCAGAGACCGTGGAACAACCGACAAATGGTCATGGCCAGTCATCACACCACCATCATCATCATCATCATCATTATCATCACCATCATCACCATCATCATCATCATCAGCTTCATCATCATCATCATCACCATCATCATCATCATCATAATCATCATCATAATGTTAACTGGTTGGTGGTTTCAAGCATTTTTATTTTCCATAACATATGGGATAATCCTTCCCATTGACTAATATGTTTCAAGATGGCTAAAACCACCAACCAGTTAACATATGTTAACCACAGAGGTAGCAACAGTAGCTGGCAAGTAGAAACAGGAAACAGCTTCACACCCGCGTGAATTTATTGCTGAACAGATGGAGTGCAAATCATTGTTCCAGGCGGATACCATGTCCCTCCACTCCTAAGTGGGCCAGCGGCCAGCCAATCCCCTCACAACACGTACGGTCAGGTGATGGTGGCGTGGCCACCGGACATGGTCTCAAGATTTGCCCCAAAATCCGACAGTGACTAATGCTGTTTGGTGGTTTGGAACATGGCTTTGATTTTCCCCAATAGTTGGGATGATGATCCAATCTGACGAACTCATATTTTTCGGGGGGGTAGGGTTGAAACCACCAATTAGCTTTCATCATTTTACCATGTTTTAGGCATTGGAACGGTCGTAGCTCCAGGTCTCCCATTTTGAGCAGATGCCGCAGGCTTGGAGCTGAGCTTCACCCGGTGAATGGGGGTATGGGCAAATATTTATCGGAAATCATCCTGGGCCATGTGTTTGAACCTTTCATCACACAGGAAATTGGAAAAACATGGAAAAACTAGGTTGGGAAAATTAACTGGATGGAAAAACTAGGTTGGGAAAATTTGGGAAACTATTTTTCAGTATTTTTCCCCAACTGCCAGGTGAGGGTTGTTAGATTTTATCAGAGCTGTTCTCCTCCTCTTCCTCCGCCTCCATTGCCTCCTCCGCCTCCTCACCCGCCGCCTCCTCCTCGCAGTCCAGATCCCGTCCCAGTGGGCACAGCCGGACCTCCACCGCGAGCTCCAGATCCCAGTGGGCACAGCCGGACCTCCACCGAGAGCTCCAGATCCCAGTGCGCACTGCCGGGCCTCAACCGCGAGTTGCAGGTGGGCACTGCCGGACCTCAACCGCGACTTCCAGGTCGCAGTGGGCACTGCCGGGCCTCAACCGCGAGCTCCAGATCCCAGTGGGCACTGCCGGACCTCAACGGCCAGATAGAATGCCAGAAGATATGCCAGATGGAATGTCAGATAGAATGCCAGAAGATATGTCAGATAGAATGCCAGAAGATATGCCAGTAAGAAAATGTATAAATGTCATGGTGAGGATCACACGAAGTAAAGTAATTCAATTGTCTGGCATTAGGGAAGCGATCTGTTGCCGGTACAACAAACTTTTCACTCAGTGGAAAGTTTGGGTCAGCTGGCATTATCCGACATCTCCAGACGTGGGTGAATTGTTGTAGTGGTTGAGGGGTTTTGCAGAAATCAGAAGGGGATTATCAACAAGAAATTGGATGAAATTGGGACATTGGCAATGAGATGAGATGGGTGGTTTCACTATCAACTTCTATCAACCACTTTTTTTCCCTCTGACATGATGGAGCCCTTTGGGTTCTTTGCTTCTCCGATCCCGCATTAAAGGCCCCTCGGGTAATCAAACATGGTAAAGAACCAAATTTGATCCAACTCGCAGAATAATGATCTATTCAAATCTTTGGACGTTATTTCATGTTATTTCCGATTCCCAGCTTAGATCACCAGAGGGCAGCGTTTGTGGCAACCAGCTGATGAAGTCAAGCCTTCGTGGCGTGCCGCTGGGCCAGGCCGTGTCTCGAGATGCGATGGCTGCGCCGAGAAAAGTGACACAGCGCACCTATCATCCGGTTCCAATGGTACCCAGGGCCGGTGATAGCTGGATTAACCTTGGATCGTGTAGCGTACTTCAAACTCTTGCCGTAAATGGGGATAGTATGCAAACCAGCAAAAATCCATGAAGGCCAATTATCATAGTTATCTAGGCTTGATGATGATTGGTGGTAGTATCTCATGATATCTTCCAGAGCTGATACACCATGATGTTTCGTCTAGGACACATCAACCCATACCTGATGAAACTGAACGTTTTTGGCAATAAGAAGTCAGAGGTTGGCAGGCGTCGGACACCACATTTCAAGGTACATCCATCTCAACGCACCACAAAGGTATTGCAATTGCAATCTTCCAAGAAGTCACAGAAACAAGCAGCCAGTGGTGCTTTTTCCCTATAACAATTTGCAGCTGATTTATTTCACCTTCTTATACGAAGCAGGACCACATGTCCTTTGATTTATGGAAGATTTGGAAACCCCAATGTATAGTCTCGCGCGGGCTGTAGCCAAGTGCAAGCCGTAGGGTTTGATGAATCGTCACAACAAATCTGCCGATCCCGATGGATGTCAGCTCAAAGTCACAGCTTAAACGGAAACTGGAGAAATGCTCCGAGCTCAACTCCAAGCGCGTTGTTTTGCATTTGTGTGGCTTCAAATGTGCATATGTTAGCCGGTTTTTTGGAGAGACTTGGCTGTTGTTGCTGTCAGTAAACAATGTGTCATGGAAGAGCAGACAGATTCTTTCCACATCTACAAAACATTCACCACAGTCCGTTGAGTTACTGTAAGTTCTTCACAAAGAACCCCCACCAAAAGTAGCTAACCAAGTCGGAGATGTCACTCAACACTTTCTTGCAGAGAGCCATTAACACTTTGATGACACCAGCCCACCAAACCATTCAGCAGCCAACATCATCACCTCATATTACCTCACTCAGACCACAGCAACCTCCAGCCCAACCCCCATCATCCACCGTGAACACCTTCGGTTTTCCGTCGCGGGGGATGGTGCCACATGTACGGCGACACGGCCGCGTATCCGGCACCGGGCTATGGTCAGGTGGCCGTGGATGTGGCGCCCCTTGGCACTGGGTGACACCAACCAGATGGAAATTGCTTGAGAAATTGATCCAAAAAAAATCATGGAAGCAGCCCTCTTTATCAAGCCAACTATTTGATGTTACCATGCTAGATTGCAAGAGAGGTTCTTTGCACATGCAAAACTTTAGAATATGCAACGGACTGTGTATGGGAAAACGGGGAAAGGAGCCCAGATCTCGTAAATGTTGTGGCTGATTTTTTGCGTGGCAAAGTGTTTTTTTTGTGCTGGCACTTCATGGTTCTTTGTGAAGATCTGATATATCATTTGCTGATGAAATTCCCCCTTCTTGGAACTCATCAATGGTCAATCAAGATCAATCATCAAATCCGATGAGTTTCCCACTCGAAATACGAAGTCTCCGATTAAAGATGTATTGTCTGAAATGAGAGAAATTTCCAGCTGATAAACCTGTGCCAAGGCCACCACAAGGTCAGCCTCCGGCACCAGAGGCGCAAGTGCCGCCCAGTGCCTCGACTCTGGAAGCGTTGTGGAAGATATGGTTTCCACATGTTTCAACCTTGGGGATGTTCAAACAATCGCATATAACTTGAGGTTGTTGGGTTATTATACCTTTTTATATAGGAATTTAGTGGGATCTACTGGGAAGTGAAGTGGGAAGCTAACCTGCAACGCTGCAACGGACAATGCCCGAATTAGAGAATCTATAAAGATAGGAAGTTCCATGGTTTTTCATGATTGTCCATTTCCCTCCAGTATTCAAACATGGCTAGCTCAAAAATCTCCAATTTAGTACTAGTCTAAATTCAACCTTACTTCAACCAGGTGCAACTTAATGTTCACAAATACTGTTCATTCAAAAGAGTCAGTTCTCTGTCAGAAACAATAGTGTTTTTTTATTTGTGCAATATGCACTTTTTGAGCCATCTAGTTGTCAAACTAGACTGTAGCATGCAGCAATTATGTTTTGCGAGCAGGCACTCCTTTCATGCCTTCAAAGCATAGAGTCCTTTTGCCAACAGCCTTCTTTTCGAGGGCATAGCCTTCTTCTAATGGACAAATATGTTCATGTATGGGATGTTATGCCCCGTGTACTGTGTTTTGTGAATTTGTTTTGTCTCCAACAGGCACCTTGCAGTAAACATGACTGTGTAAATAGCATGTGGCGTCTTTCCTTGAGGCCATCACACTATGTAAGAAATGTTCCTTGAAAACAAGCCACGGTTTCTTACAAGGTGCAACAACTACAGTTCTTTCAACTCCTTAAAACACACAACATGTACCTCAAAGTTGCCATTTCACAATTTTTGGGCCTGAAAGACGTGATGCACTGCCCCTTGCCTCTCGAAGCCTTTGGCCCCAAGGATCATCAATTCTGGATTTCACAAAAGGGCGATGGACCCCCAAAAAAATCGCCATGATTCGCCAGGAAAGCAACTTTAACCATGGGATTTGGGGCTATACCCATGGCCATTTTTAGGCCAAACCTTTGTTTTTCTCGAGGCAAAATTGTTCCTAGCAATGGTTTCTGCAGGCTATCGTCACACAGTACTTCTTTGCAGTGATGGGCGTGCGGTAGCTTGCGGAAAAAACACAGATGGACAGTGCAACATTCCACCTTTGGATGAAGGAGTTTCATACACCCAAATTTCTGCAGGCCATTTTCACACAGTACTTCTTCGCAGTGATGGGAGTGTAGCAGCCTGCGGAAGCAACCTTCACGGACAATGCAACATTCCACCTTTGGATGAAGGAGTTTCATACACCCAAATTTCTGCAGACCATTTTCACACAGTACTTCTTCGCAGTGATGGGATTGTGGTAGCTTGCGGAGCAAACTTTCTTGGACAGTGCAACATTCCACGTTTGGATGAAGGAGTGTCATACACCCAAGTTTCTGCAGGCCATTATCACACAGTACTTCTTCGCAGTGATGGGAGTGTGGTAGCTTTCGGAGCCAACACTGACGGACAATGCAACATTCCACCTTTGGATGCAGGAGTGTCATACACCCAAATTTCTGCAAGCTATTATCATACAGTACTTCTTCGCAGTGATGGGAGTGTAGCAGCCTGCGGAAGCAACCTTTACGGACAATGCAACATTCCACCTTTGACTGAAGGAGTGTCATACACCCAAATTTCTGCAGGCCATTATCACACAGTACTTCTTCGCAGTGATGGGAGTGTGGTAGCTTGCGGAGCCAACACTGACGGACAATGCAACTTTCCGTCTCTGAAATCTTGGCGTGATCTTTTGACTTTTGCAAGCGCCAGCTGTCGGTATATTTGCGATTCTAGCTTTGTTCCCCAACTTCCAATCCCAGATTGTGTTTTGCAAATGAATCTTGTTTGTGAAGGCGATGCAGTGGTGATGACATGCTTGAACATGGCTGGTTGTGAAGTTCTTCGCTTGAATGCATGCGGATCTGACCTGGTTTCGGAGACTCATCAGCGGATAGCGAGGGAATTGGCGGCGCCCCTCCGAAGTGTTCGGGTGGTTTTGCCAGGAGGAAGATTGTTGGCTCGCGTGTCGCAGGCGAATCCATCTTCCACCCTTGCAGATGTGACGTTGGGTGAACAGTTTGGCTCGTGATACTGCAAAAAAACTTCAGTGTCGCAAGCATGATTCCATTTCTTACAGTTGCCGCCGAAGCACACCATGTGAAAATATGTGATAAGTGATAAGGATATTTTCCAAACCCCAATTCACCCTTGTCTTTATCAAACATGTATGACAGGTCCAGCTAGTACAAGATACAAGTACAGCTCCAGTTCCTGGTGCTGTTGATGTTGGACATCTCAGAACACGTTGGCGAGCGGGAAAGAAGGTTTTCTGAAGCGCAAGATTCCTCGTCGTGGCAAGCGGTTCACAAAACCCATGTGAATAGCTGGAATATACTCAGACCATCAAACTGAGATAGCTGTCAAGTTGGCATCCTTTCAAAAAGTAACACCACGTTCAATGTCTTCTCATGTTTTTCCTACATGTCTAAAGGTTATCACACATGAATTCCTTTCGCACTCAAGTCCTCTAAGAGTTCTGAGGTGTTCTGCCGTTGCGGCTGGCCATTCATCGAGTTGAAGGTGGCTGAGAGCTGCGGGACCGACTTATCCCCAGGGAACATCCAAGCGGGTCAGATCTTCGAGAAGAGATACCCAGATCATCAGATCGACAGGAGGTGACCCAAATCTACCATAGATTTCAATCTTCCACCAACGAAGTCCGACTCTGAGGAGCTATACATTTTTAGCATCATGTTCTCCATTCCAAGTAGCCTAAAGGCAACGTAATTACTCGTATCAAGTACTTATCGGTCAAAGCTATTTATTTTTTTGATGATGAAACCCACACAAATTGGCTGAGTGAATCCCCAATTTTGAATCACCATTACAGCCCCACCTGAATTTAGGTGTTAGATCTCCTTTAAGCCATGTTCCAAGTGGAACTTCCCTGTAATAAAGTTCCAAATGGGTTTTCTCCATTTTCAGGCACACCCAAACCAGCATCTCGTTGGTGATATATGTATATATTTGTGTATATATATCCCATAAAGTATCCCATTCTAGATCCACCTCCTGATTTCATGCCTATTAAATATAAATGTGTTCATCATATTATGTTTATCTGAAAATCCGCATCAACTTCCAGTGGTTTCTGAAATTTCTCATCATTTTCCCCGTGAAAATCGCCGAAAATCGCTCCTTTTCCCCAGCCAAGTGCTTGGTTTCCCCCGTTGTTTCCAGGCGCCCTGGGCACATCCCTGGTCTCCCCCTTGGTGCGGATTCACCTGGTGGACGCCGCCACGGGGTACCGTTGGGGGAAGCCCGCGGGGCAGCAGTGCGTCTTCAACGAAAAGGCGTCGCGTCACGTTGCACGGGGAATGGGGTGCTGGGGGGGCCATGGCCCATGAAAAATGCGGATTCTCCTGGTGAGTTGTGAGATAACTTGTGGAAAATCATTGGGAAAATCACCATTTTTTTAGTAGCTCAGATTTGATGTATCGAACTAAATGGGCCAGTTTCCATAGCTATGTTAGTCTACGGGAGGGTACTGTATGTAATACTAGTCTATTTGGGGGATTTGGAATTTTCAGGAAGTGATGAATAACAACTGTGGACTTTAAAGCCCCATATAGGATATGGGCTCTAAAATTGGGGTACTGTAGCATTTGAAGTCGCAAATTGTGACTATTTAGGGGACCACCCGAATTAATCACCCAGGGTTTCGGGTTGAGATCAGGTGAATCTGAAACTTAGACGTGATCTCATGACGAGTTCATGTCGATAGTCTCAGTACCAAGAAAAGATTGTATTTTGTTCCCATTGCGCGAGTCCCCAAAATCCTTTGCTCCAAAAGTAAACACCAAATGCTTGACGTATTTGGTGTTCGTACTCAGGTATGGCAGAAGTTTTGATTACCCAAAAAAAATGGGATGGTTAAGTTTTCAAAAGCACACATTGTGTTGGTTACACAGGAAAAATGACAATTCCTGTGGGTCCATTGGTAACACCATCGGGTCATCTGGCAGGATGGTGCGGCATATTTGCGGACGAAGCAAGAGCCTGGAAAGGAGCAAAGGCCGCAAGATGGGGGTCCGAGCCCAGCATGACATGGATGTGAACAAGACGGGTTCCAGGAATATTATGATTATGGGGGCTAATCATATACTAATCATCACCAATGGGATGATGTGCTGGATAAATCGGATTCCTGGATTTGCTGAGTCTAAATGGATGTGGAAATTTTGAAGATTTGTCATTGGTACATGTGCCACTTTGGGAGAGTGAACATCAACAACTTTGATTTTCCGAGTCCGTGTTTTGTTTGTCCATTGGTGAACCCACCAATTGGGGAATCGCGTTTTTTCCTATTTTTCTGGTGCCATCTTAAGCAAATGCCAGCAAAATGAAGAAATCTGGCTGGTGAATTCCAAGATTTTGTCTCATCGAACAATAGGGCATGATATTTCAAGTACCGTGGATTTATATAAAGTATATGAAAGTTACAAAATTTGATGGGATAGCCTCCCCACTATCACAAGTGATGTTAGTCCCGCATAAATAAAAATTGGTAGTCTATTGAATGGGAGAGGGAGGTATCATCTCCACCATTCAAAACCCTTCAGCCAAGGTTTTCGTCGATCCGGCGTTGGCATCATTGACCCAAAAAGATCCGTTGACAGATGTCCTTTTCCCATTGGTTGGTTGATTAATAGAGAGGTTAGTTTACCCCTGTAACAACAGGTAAATGATGATAGACGGTATACCAAACCGGCTCCTCTGTTTTTAGCAAAAGGACATTGTTGTTTAGTATGAAACCATACAAAAATTGTTGTTTTTCCATGTTTTCCCATAAGATTTGCAGCATTTCTTTGTGTATTAAAAACGATGATGAGCCTTGGCCGTGTGTCCGGCACAGGGCCCCTCCCTGGACGGCGGATAGTGGACAGAGTGCCTTGTAGGCGAATGGCTAAAGCCATGTGGGATCCCCAATAGCTGGATGATTGGATGGTTTAGATTTGAAAAAAAACAAAACTAAAGGTCTGATTTGGGGGTCATTTTGGGAAACCTCGATCCAGTTCTTCCCTGGGAAAACGGGGTGATGATCTAGCGATTTTGACCAAAACCAGAAAAGGATCGTTTTGTACAGATAACATTTTGATTGATCAGCTGAAAGTATCAGACATTGCTGGCAAATTGTGACGATTTGAGTGTCCACCTCACCATATTTGGTAGTCCATCGGTGTTGCATCAGACTTGAGAATGATCGGAATGTGGCTGGGTCCCTCGCGCAATTGTAGCCGCTTATTATGATATGTTGAAGTTCATAGAATCAAAACCCATGTGTGCTTAACTTTGATCAATAGAAACTTGCAAGAGATCTTGGATTCCACGAGTTGGGTGGTTGCAAGGGAATGGGTTTTTGTACTGTATGTCTATGGGTATAGAATTGCAGAGACTGCACTTGTTGAATTTGCACTTTACACATTGTTTAAACTTACTCTGAAGAAGACCTTCAGTCTTTGCACTCTTGAAATTCTGGCGCTCCTGAGTGTAGACCCCTTCAAACACACTGTCTTTAGCCAACATCAACCATCGAAACTGTTGTGACTCATGCCGCATCGCTCGCCAAGGCTCGTTCTTCCGGCCCTTCTGCACCATGCCCAAGCGCCGTGGCATCTCCAGAGACCTTCCTCCATGGGAAGAGGTGTGATGCGATAGCTGTGATCCCATGGCTAATGAAGTCCAGGAACATCCCACAGTCAACTCGCTGAAAAGGGCTAAGGATTGATGAATATTGATGATTCTCATGCCGGGAAGCATCAAAAATCACCCAGCGAATCAGACGTGGGATCTTGTTGCGAATTATATGCATGCTCCGAAAAGAATTGGGACCTGCTGAAATCTGAGTGAAGAATTTGTAACAAATTTTGAACTTGGTTTCGGGCATATTGTATTCAAATTTGGAATTTTGGGCAAGGCATCTTCCAAACAAAAGTGACAAAAACAAGTATGCACAACAGAGCAAAACAGCTTCCAACTATTTCAGATTCAGAAAAAGGTTTGCATTTCGTACATCAAACAACATCCAACAACATCCTATGCCATCCCCCTATGACTTCCATACGTTTTTTTTTCCTAACCGTGGCGCCGTGGCTCCGCACCGCAGGCCTTCCTGTTGCAGCTGCAGCCGGACCAACGCATGGCGTTCCTCTTCGAAGTGGTCGACTGCAGTAGCGATGAGACCCTTGGGCAACCGGGAACTCGCTGGGAACTTCAGAACTGGGCTATTTTTTTGGTTCAATTGTTATATTCTGGTTGGTGGTTTGGAACATGGCTGTTTTGAATTTCCATGTATTGGGAATGTCATCATCCCAACTGACGAACTCATATTTTTCAGAGGGGTTGACACCAACCAGTTTTTTTCTATTGAAATTATATGATTTTGTTGATCGCAGTGGTTCCAGTATTGGTGGTTTTGGGCTATGGATGGCTTGAAAATTGGGTGAATGGTTTATTGTAAAGGAGTGATGAATAGACTTTGACACAATCGTAATGTCATTCACTAATATCCTGTTTTTTTTTTGTTGGGGTGTCGATTCTTTCATGTTTCTAATGCCACTGACCACGGCGACGTCTTGGAATCCATAGCTTCTATTGTAAGTGTCCATGTCAGAAATGTTGGGTAAAACTGAGGCCCAAGCAGCTTTAAGCAGCTTGAGTATCTTCAGAGTCTTGGGAATGTGTGCTTTACCAATTTCGCTGAATCAGAAGCTTCCAATAAGATTCATCAAATGTGCAAGCCCTAGCGTTCAAGAATCTCGAGGCTTTTGATAGGTTAGTAAATAACTGAAGAGGTTCACCGCGTGTTTGCTACCACTCTGTTGACTGGGGTGAGCCTTTCCCTGTGAGAATTGATGCAAACATTGGTTGAAACAAATTCTGTGAGCGTATTTGCTGGTTACCTCACAAGATCACTGTTTTTTCGTCGTTACCTAGGTCACCGGTCACAACCTTTGTCGAGTTGAACTTATCAACATGCGTTTCTCCATCTTCGTCAAGGTTTTGCCTTATTCGATCCCGTTTGTGTTCAGACCCCCACCGAAGGGATATTCCCACATTGCTATGCAATTACTGTTGGCTTTGATCCTGGTTTTTCTTTGCATCAATCCTGATTGTTGATGCTGAAGTTTCATGGATATTTCCGATGTTTTCCTCAATTTGAAAGTTAGGTCAAAAAGCCCTAGGGTATGTGTGACCTTGTTTGGCCCATAAAATCAGGTTGTAACTCTCACCCCATTATGTGGATCCGTTACTTGGAAAGTGCACTTTCACTTAATCAACGAGTACATATTCAAATTGTTGTAGGACATATATCCCAACTTGCGCCTATTTGATTTTACTTCTATGAGTTTGTTCTTACGTTATATTATAATATATTATCCAACTTGGGGTCAACTACTATGTTTCATTGTGTTTTTCTTATATTGTATCTCAATTTAGGGATAAAATATGATAAAACTAGGTTCCTTCTATAACCTATAGTTAGGATATGTTAGGATATCATGTATTTCTAACTTACATATGTAAACCAACATGACTCAGCTTATTTCCGTGGTTATTTCCATGGTTTTTCCCCATGTTTTCATCCTCCAAGGAGCGGCTGGCGCCTGACTCCTGTGGCCTGGGGCTTCACCCACTGCGCCGCGCTGAAGCCCAGCCGTCGCAAGCTGCGGGCGCAGCTCTGGAGCTATCGTAGGCGGCGCTGACGGATGGGTCAAGTGGAAAAAAAGGGGGGATTTGAAGATCCCAAAGTACGGAGAATTTTGGAAAAAATGGCAAATTAAACATCCGCAATAGATGATATAGATGAAAACTTGTAAATTAGACTCAAAGTTTAAAGAGAGAAGAGATCGAATCGTAATCTCGAGCAGGAAAAAATGTTGACAACTCGAACAAATCAGTATCCTTCATAAAACAAAGATGAGTCACTGTCTCTATGATTGTAGTTGCTGGTTCTTATTCCATCTGCCCTGTGGAAAAGTGATATGGCTAGATGGGAAATGTAATGTTTCACGGGGAAAAAACATCGAAAAGCGCCAACCACTAAGCCAAGCTTGTTTGCCAGCGTATCACAAACTTGAAATGATTTGGGTCATGGCCTTAATGTTGGCAAGGTGGGTCAACATTTTCTCGGACTTTGGGTAGAATGCAACGATTGTGCGGTGAGAAATTGAGGGATCATTCGGAAGAATCTTGGAATTGACCATTTGTTCAACTATTTTTTGGACATGGAGAGCATATTGTGGCTAAGCGCATCATTTTTTCGCACCGAAGAGTGATATCCTTCGAAGATGCTGGATGTTGTACATGATGACCGTCCATGATTTCTGATGATTCCTGCTGTGTCCAAAAAATCAATGTTAAATTACAATGATATATAAATCATATATAATCATATATAGTAGAAACATGTATAACTTCACATCCAATCAAGCGGTGTTCCGGTCTGTTTTCCTGCTAGGCGGCATTTCTGTGGACGTGTGGCCCTAGAAGCTTGGTTTATGCATGTGCTGAGCCGGCGAGCCGGGTGACTTTTTTTGGGTTTGTGCCAAAAATGAGTGATGAACAAAAAAAGCAACCTCAACACTCAACAATGACGAAAATCATGATTGACCCAACTTGGACTTGTAAAGATCTGGATTTTACAAACAGTGTGATGAGTCAGATGTTGCTTTGAAGCCAGTCTCAGTTATAAGTGTGCAAGGTTGTCTTTGTAATACCATGATGACCAGTGGCCGGAAAAACACTGCTTTTTTCTAGCCCTGGACTTCCAGTCTTTGGGTTGGTCACCTTAAATGCTTTTGGTGGAATTTGTTGGGTCCAAATTCCGAAAGAGCATGTTTTCCAACGATGATCAAATCCAGATATGTGTTGGTACCCCATGATTTGAGTAACTGCGGCATATAAAGGGCTGCTCTCCTCATGTTCGTTCTCTACGTCAGATGAGTATTGCTTAAAGTTATTGACCATGTGGAAAGATGCTACCAGTAACTCAGGAACTTGAAGGTTGTGTGTCCATTCATATTCCTTTTTGAGCCATATCCATCTTGCACCCCCATAGTTCACCAAAGTTTCATTCAGCATTCCCAATGATCCATTTCTCACTTGGGGTATTATTATTGAAATTTTCCCAATTATCCATGTCCAATTCCCAAATACTTATCATATTCCATAGTTGATCCTCCCATTGTTTAAATGAAAATGCCCACCTTGAGTTGCAGCGCTGTAGCGATGTCCCAGGAAGAAGACTCGGATGATATACCTTTGGTGGTTCAGGAGTCGGTGCTAGACTGGGCTCACTGGGCTCAAGGGTGATAAATGGGATTCAGTTTTTGGACAGCCAGTAGGGAAAGGATATATGTTTCAGGTGGAAAACATTGTCTGATTGCTGGTTTGGAACATGAATTTTATGAATTTCCATATATTGAGAATGTCATCATCCCAACTGATGAACTCATATTTTTCAGAGGGGTAGGTATACCACCAACCGTATATATATAGCTATTACTGGTATATTGTTCTTATATTCATTTTTTGGACAAAGCCATGGCTCTGTGATGCTTTCTGTTGATGTCTAACTGCATACTTAGTAGCTGGGTGATGGTTTTACTTTCCATCTCAACATTGTTGGGGATGCTTCAGTTCAATCGGCTCAGACTTTCTTGATGGGTTGAACACTGGTTCAATTGTTTGGAAGTTTAAATGTTGAGCTCTTTGTGGGCAAATATACTCAAGTGCCTGGCAGGTGCTTTACCGTCCAAGTGATGTGGGTGGTTTACCAGAAGCTATAGGCAAACCGAAAACCACCATGATCATGATCTTCACATGTATTTAATGTTATTTAATGACGTGCACCTCCAACCTGCACCTCCAATTTTGTTGGGGACCGCTACAGTTTTCATCGTCAAGGTAGGTGATTCATAGCGATTCATGCCCTCCGGCGATGAAATTATCCGTTGCTGAAGGTTCCCATTGATCCCATGGCAGGTTTTTCCTGGTGACATGGAGATGGCATGGTATGGTTCAAAATTATTACCCTCTGGTGAACTAACATAGCCATGGAAATTGGCTATTTATAGTGGATTTTCCCATTAAGAATGGTGATTTTCCATTGCTATGTTAGTTCACCAGAGGGTATTCAATGGTATAGTTCAAAAAACCTTGCTATGGATATAGTCATAAAAGCCATGTTACCTATGACGTGTCAGAAATGGTGGTTTGGAACATGGCTTTTATGAATTTCCATTCAGTTGGGAATGTCATAATCCCAACTGACGAACTTATTTTTTTCAGAGGGGTGGGGCACAACCACCAACTAGATTTTGACTGGCTCCGATTCGAAGAAATCTTGGATTTGGATGAGTTGGGGATTCTGTTTGAGCCTTACCCAGAGTAGCATGAGCAATACCCAAAACCCCCAAGGGCCGATTCACTCATCATTCTCCCCAGTAAAACTTTTTTTTTTGTGTGTGTGTGTATGCTAATGGTCAGAAAACACGGTAAATATCAGATGATTGCTCATGTTCATCATTATTCAATGAAAATCCCAGTTTTTTTCACATGATATTCCACTATATCCCATAGTATCCCAGTATGTCTCATTGTATTTGTGAGCTATGGACATTGCTACAACCCAACATATAGAATCCCGCCCTCAAAGAACTGCTAGCTTTGGGGATGATCTGCCAGGAGTATTTGGCCGCTGGCATTGGAGAAGAACGACCAGGCTGCAGCGGTTCGAACTTCCATGGGGCAAATGAGAGGTGAGATAAAAATACATCCAAGATCCGAAGATATCCAAAAACTTGAGATCCATGAAACACACATAAATCGCATTCGTTATACATGTTCACAATCTTCTTATTCAAAAAATCAGATCCATCAAAACAGAAAACAACATCTCCAATATATCCAAACATCGCATCAATTACCTCCCCAAAATATGTTTATCCAAACCTACGTTGAAAAACAAGAAACAAAAAGCAAATAAACAAGCTTATGACCATTGTTTCACCATGTTTGACCATTTTAAAAACCTACGATTCAAACCATATGATATAATCATGGGTCTATAGCATTCTATAACCATATGGTGGATTATACTCATGATTATACCATATATATATAATCCATCATATGGTTATAATAATCCACCATATAACCATATATATCATCCACCATATATATATACACATATAATCCACTTATAACATTATATATATATATAATCCGTGGGGATTCCATGGGTTTTGACCATTTTAAAGCGCCATCAATGTCTTCAATGTCTCCAGGTGCCCTCGCAGCCTGGATGGCTTGGGCACTGGGTCGCAGCCGACAGAAGTGGCCTGCAGCCTTGGTTCCTTGGCGGCGGCGGGGAAGATGTTTGAAATGGATGAAATTCAACATGATTCCATCATGAAAACTAGGGATTTAGTAGGATATATAACTGATATTCACCAACTCAAGATGATTTGGATTGATTTCTGGTTGGTGGTTTGGAACATTTTTTGTTCCATATATTGGGAATTTCATGATCCCAACTGACGAACTCACTCCATCATTTTTCAGAGGGCCAGGGCTCAACCACCAACCAGAGATATTATATATTATTCATTAGATCAGGTATTAATCACTATTAACCACCATTAACCACTATTAATCAGGTTGGCCCCCAATTGGCCGATCTTTACCGGGGGTGATGATCTTTATCCCTGGAATTGGAGGTACCTTATTTTCAGACAAAGCCAAATGGGATGAATAAATGGGCCATGGGTCAAACATGACTTCATTGATTTAACAGCTGAATATGGAGTGAATAGGGAGTTACATCATCAAAATTTGATCCATATCCATACCCACAAAAGGAAGGCGTATTTTTTTTTGGGGTGGGAGGTTACTGTTCAAATGTGGCATGATTTACTCCGGGAATGTGCGAGAAACTGGTGGGTTTTCTCGAAGTCCTGGAGATACAAATTGTAAAACCAGCCATCAATTGTGGATATTTTTCATGGGATATACCCTCTGGTAAACTAACATAACTATGGAAAATCACCATTTTTAATAGGTAAACCATCTATAAATGGGCCATTTTCCATGGCTATGTTAAATAACCAGAGGGTAACATCAGAAATGTGATGATGGCCAATGGGTGTGTCCAAAAATCGGTAAAGTTTCCTTCAAATTGCGTCCAATTTTTATGAGGAACATGTTGACGAATCAATGGTTCCGGGCATAACCCAATTCTTGGACATGCTCCTATGGTAGGGGGTCAGGATTGGGTACATCTATGGGGATGTAAATAACCTATGTTTGGTGGTTGGTTCAAAGATCCAACATGGGGATTCAAACAAATGGATAGAAAGGTTTCAAACATGAGGATGTAAACCAATGTGAGTGTATCTTTCGTTGGATTGGGTAGCCATGAGGATAAGACACAAGAAAACAACAAGTGTAATTGGAATTAAACCTACGATTCAGCACATGAACATCTATGTAGGGGATTAATCTCAAATGGAGAGTTCTATCCTGAGAAATGTGGATGCAATCAACAAGAAAGGTGAATCCAAGCAACAACAAAAATGGGGGAGATCTGTAGTGATGCCCATGGGAAACCCACAAAAAGCACAATAGAACTATTTGCAAATCATGCAGCTGAATGTCACATCGATTTTCGGAGCCAACCGCAAAATGCCAAGGAATTCAGCTTGGACATGTCGCAAAAGCCGAAGCTTGGCCGTTGATTTGCGGATGGTTTGATTTGGCTTATTTTTGGATGAGATTCACCTATAGTTTTAAGGAGGCTGTAGGTCCCTGATAAAGGTCCCGCCAAAAAGGTCCCGTGGTTCGTTCATGGCTCTGACCAATGATCCATTAAGAGGTCTGAGATGTGCCAAAAGTGAGGGCAGGGTAGTTGAAGTTGAACTGGTGAATCATTTACCCTCTGATTATTTAACATAGCCATGGAACATGGCCCATTTGTAGATGGTTTACCTGGGTTTACCTATGAAAAATGGTGATCTTCCATGGCTATGTTAAATAACCAGATGGTAATAGGAAAGGATGACTAAGTAACCCTGGAAACTGTAACCTTGACATGGTGGCGTCCCACGGGACACGAAGGAGCTTCCATGACTTTCCATGGCTTTCCACTGTCCATTTCGCGGGAACCAAACATAGCCATGGTTTGTCGATGGCCCATTGAAATAGATGATTTTCCCAGCGAAAAACCTCCATTTATGCCAGGGATTTTCCATGGCTATGTTAAATAACCAGATGGTAGTTTGATGATTTTCAAACTAAAACTTACTTCAGAGAGGTACGATCCAAGGTTCACGAATACTGTCGCTTTAAAAGAGTCCGTTCTCCGTCAAAATCAATAGTGTTGTCTTTGTGTAAAGCACTTTTTGAGCCATCTCCTTGTCACACTAGACTTTGGCGTGCAGCAAGTATTCCTTTTGAGCAGGCACACCTTTCATGCCTTCAACCTTCAAGACATACAGTCCTTTTGCCAACAGCCTGGTATTCTTTTCACTTGCATGGCTGTCTTCTAATGGACAAATGTTCATGTAAGGAATGCTATATCCCGTTTACTGTGTTTCGTGAAATATGTTTCTCTCCAACAGGCAGCTTGCATAAAACATTATACAGTAATTATCTAGATATATCTAGATGACATTCAACCAATGCCTTCTTTCCTTGAGAACATCACACACATGTAAAACATATTCCTGCAAAAACATGCCCTCAGATTCTCACAAGATGCTGAGTTGTTTACTTATTGGTGGTTTGGAACATTTTTTATGTTCCATATATTGGGAATAATAATCCCAACTGACTTTCATATTTTTCAGAGGGGTAGGTATACCACCACCCAGTGAGTTGTTTAAAGATTTTTGAGAAAATGTGCCGATTTGCCATTTCTCTGGGCCTCAACGACATGATGCCCTGCGGGCCCTGCCCTTGCCGCTCAAGGTCTTTTGAAGGGATCTTCAACGTTTGCTACATGGGTTAGTCAAAAAAAGGACGATTGGCCCCCAATGGCCATGCTTTGATGTGCAAAACATTTTGGGCTATCCTATTTTTTTAGCCAAACCTCCATCTTCTTCGAGGCAGATTGTTCCCAGCAATGGTTTCTGCAGGCTATCGTCACACAGTACTTCTTTGCAGTGACGGGCGTGTGGTAGCTTGCGGAAAAAACACATATGGACAGTGCAACATTCCACCTTTGGATGAAGGAGTGTCATACACCCAAAGTTCTGCAGGCCGTGCTCACACAGTACTTCTTCGCAGTGATGGGAGTGTGGTAGCTTGCGGAGACAACCAGAGCGGACAATGCAACATTCCACCTTTAGATGCAGGAGTGTCATACACCCAAATTTCTGCAGGCAATGATCACACAGTACTTCTTCGCAGTGATGGGAGTGTGGTAGCCTGCGGAGACAATTATGCCGGAAAATGCAACATTCCACCTTTGGATGCAGGAGTGTCATACACCCAAATTTTTGCGGGCTTTCTTCACACAGTACTTCTTCGCAGTGATGGGAGTGTGGTAGCCTGCGGAGACAGCTATGTCGGACAATGCAACATTCCACCTTTGGATGCAGGAGTGTCATACACCCAAATTTCTGCAGGTTTTACTGACACAGTACTTCTTCGCAGTGATGGGAGTGTGGTAGCTTGCGGAAGAAACTATGAAGGAGAATGCAACATTCCACCTTTAGATGCAGGAGTGTCATACACCCAAATTTCTGCAGGCCATTATCACACAGTACTTCTTTGCAGTGATGGGCGTGTGGTAGCTTGCGGAAAAAACACATATGGACAGTGCAACATTCCACCTTTGGATGAAGGAGTGTCATACACCCAAATTTCTGCAGGTGAACGACACACAGTACTTCTCCGCAGTGATGGGAGTGTGGTAGCTTGCGGATCCAACGATGGCGGACAATGCAACATTCCATCACTGAAGTCCTGGCGTGATCTTTTGACTTTTGCAAGCGCCAGCTGTCGGTATATTTGCGATTCTAGCTTTGTTCCCCAACTTCTAATCCCAGATTGTGTTTTGCAAATGAATTTTGTTTGTGAAGGCGGTGCAGTGGTGATGACATGCTTGAACATGGCTGGTTGTGAAGTTCTTCGCTTGAATGCATGCGGATCTGACCTGGTTTCGGAGACTCATCAGCGGATAGCGAGGGAATTGGCGGCGCCCCTCCGAAGTGTTCGGGTGGTTTTGCCAGGAGGAAGGTTGTTGGCTCACGTGTCGCAGGCGAATCCATCTTCCACCCTTGCAGATGTGATGTTGGGTGAACAGTTCGGCTCGTGATACTGCAACAAAGTGTGCGGTCCAGTCGTGATTCCATTTCATTGAGCTTCCTCTTGAAGCACGCAATGTAAAAATATGTCATCAATTTCACTCCTGCTTTTGTGGAACATGTATGACAGGCCCAGCTAGTACGAGTAGAGCTTCAGTTCCTGATGCTGTTGATGTTGAAGATCTCCGAATACGTTGCCGGGCGGGGAAAAGGCTTTCTGAAGCACACGATTTCTCGTTCTGCGGGAGTGCGTTCCAAGGAGTGCCCATGAGTAGTATGTTCCAACACTCCATTTTTATAGATTGGCTAAGTATCATTGGTCTTCATTTGCAACCACTCCAAACACTTACAAGTATTATCAAGTACTTTGATTTTTGGAATGATCCCTACCGATGAAACTTTCTTCGCACGCGTCCCAGGATCCAAGTGGAACGTCCCAATCCGCAGCTGCCAGCGGAAACCAAAGCGTCGGGGACACCTGGGATGGACGTCTGTCACGACCTGACTTCACCAGAGAATTTGGAAAATGACATAAGTTGACATAAGCATCATGAAGTATTCGACATAGCTTCTTGGGGAATCTTACGAACCTTTCAACAATGGGAGTTGTGTATTGGAGCGTCCAATATGAGAAGGGTTGGATATGCCATTACTTGTTCGACTTGTTTGAATTAATGTCACGCGAAATTATAATTTTGGTCTGGAGTTTTGAGTGTGTTTTAGTCAATGACTTCAGCGGTCAGCATTGTTCAGCGCAGAAGGAGAGATGTTCGAACCAACAAGAGGATTCAATGAACAAGAGCGGTGACTGAATCAGTAAACTGGTTGGTGGTTTCAAACATTTTTTATTGTCCATTTCATTAGTATGGGTTGTCATCCTTCCCATTGACGAACTCCATCATTTTTCAAGATGGTGAAATTGCACCACCAACCAGTAAAGTGTGGACATCAGACTTCCCACTGAGAGTTGATGTTTGATTCTGTTTGATAGTCCTGGTGAGTGAAGCGAAACCAGATCTGGTGAAATTTTAAGGTGTCTATCTTTGCTGGTTGAAGTCTCTGAATACCAAAAAAAAACGAGAATCCCCAGTGTTGATGTTAAAAGTGATCATATTCGATGAATTCAACTATATAGTTTTGAATTACTATGGTCATATTTTGCTGATTGAAGTCCCCTCTTTCATTTTTCCTCGCAAAATAGGGATCAGTTTTGCTGGTTGAATTGCTACCATCGAAGCAGATTTGGTTGATCCGTCTCTCCTCCCAGGTCCACCATTGAAGTGGTCACCGGAAAGCTCACCCCTGCAGGGGAGCCGAGCCCCAAGGCCATGTCATACCACATACCCAATGGGGATCATTGTTGAGTTGTCAAAATTATATAAGAAAGATGGTTTGGCCAGCTGTTCAATAACATGCAAGATATTTGATCATGATGATCACGGCTACAATGAGAAATTCATTTAAGGGTTTGTCCCAGATATACCCCAAAAATAGACAGTTTTGCTACGGAGAATGAGGATCGACCATTAAATGACAAACTAATAATATAAGATAATGATCAGGAAATACATGCAACGGATATTAACTAGGTTATTTAACATAGCCACGGAAAATGGCCCATTGATAGATGGTTTACCTATTAAACACGGTGATGTTCCATGGCTATGTTAAATAGCCAGAGGGTAAATATTCACCAATTATTGTCAATAATAACTGGCAATATCCAACTAGCAATGTCTCGCAGGCGGAAACGGTGGCAGAGGAGGAGATTCTGGGACACCTGGCCCCCCAACACGTGCGACAAAAGGGCCAGGCCGGGTCGAGGAGTCCTTTGTTTGGTGGAATTTTCAGGGTTTGGAATTTCAGGATGGTTTTTTAACCACCAACCAGATAGATTTCCCCTTCAGTTTCCACCAGTTTCGCCTACAATGTTGATTTTACCGTTTTACCCATATAATACCCATAGAATCACCATATACTGTATCATATAATCATCATCTAATCGCTAATCAACAGCTGTATGAAATGGATGCTGTTTGTCCATGTGATTTTGTTGGGTCACCCCAATCTGCATGAGGTCACTCCCATTTTGGTATGTCGAATCACCATTTTATCCCGCCAACTTCCCCAATTTTTGCCAAAACTAAATTCCCACGCATTATCGCAATCTATCATCTATCCCCCAAGAATGTCATGAGATGATCATGAATATTCCGAAAAAAACATATCCGATATATCCGAAAAAAAAATCAGGTTGGTGGTTTCAAACATGTTTTATTTTCCTTATGGGATAATCCTTCCCATTGACGAACTCCATCATTTTTCAAGATGGTTATGGCACCACCAACCAGTTTTTCTTTATACCCCAGGTTATATATGTGACATGTAACTATATGTAACTATATTGAAATATACAAGTATAACTATGAGTCACCAGGCTGGTTAACCACCAAATTCCCCACTTCGTACCCCAACCAGGCCTGCATTTTGCCGGACGAATTGCTATGGCAGATCCCCAGCGGCAAACGCGGGGCCAACCGCATGGCCATTTCACCCACGTGGCGTGGTGGCACTGGGGGAGATCATGGCACTGGGAAGTTTTTGTGGCACGCGGGGCCTCAACGTGATTCAACTACAGTTTCTATAGATGGTAGGTAGTTCAACTAGTTATAGTTATGATGATGTAGCTAGTTATTTATAAGTATAACTATAACTATAACTAAAACTATAACTATAACTATAACTAGTTATAACTACAATGTGATTTGTCATGATATGTTCGGGGTCAGATAACTCGGATAACTCGGGAACATCGCCAGGATCTTGATTTTGCCAGATCAGCTGAGGAGCACGCTGTTGGCAGTCGCAACAGTTGGAGCGCCCCAGTTACGGTAGCTGTGACCAGGGGGAGCTCCAAAAGGTACCGGTGGAAAAACGGACCATTCTGCAGTCCAATACTAGTTGGAGATACGATTCTTTGGGGTATATTAATTGTTTTATGTAAAAGCAGATGGTGAATTGGGAGTGATTTGTTTTGGGGTGTAGCACTTTGCTGGCAGTAGGAACATAGCTTTCACGTGTAGGGCTATAGCTCTGATGGTGTCACATGATGACCATCATATATTTTTTGCCTCCACCGAAGAACACACCAAACAGAAAAGTCACTGGGAGATACTGGCAGAAGGGTCTTTACTTGCAGGTCTCTTCGCATGTGGTTAATGTGGACCTTGTGGGCGATTAGAGAGTCGTTCTGGGTAAATGTTGCAAAACTGGCCCCAAAACCAATTTGTTGTATTTGGGTATCATCTACAAACAATTGATCATTACCATGGTAATTTATCAAAAGATGGTTTCCCCGTGGTTTCCCCATCATTTTTTGGTATCATCTACATGGAATGATGATCGTTCCTCCAGTTTTCTTTTGTTTTCTATCCCCATGATTTCTCTGTTACATTCCCATGGTAATTCCCATGGTGGTTTCCACCCATCATTCCACCAGTTTTTAGCATTGCCATTCGATCATTGGATGCCGGAGTGCTCCTAGAATTGAAGGGAAGCTTTTGCAGGAACCCCCCTACACATTTGATGGGGAACACCATGGTTTCCTTTAGATTCTCCAAATTTCCCGAAAAAATCCTTTGGATTTATCCGTTGGACAAGCCATCCATTGAACCTTCGCAGGTCCGTTCTCCTGGTTCTTCCGAGCTTCGTATCTTCAGCTTGGGCAGCGGACGCCTTTATGCCGCCTGATTCAACAGAAAGATGTGCAAAACCCACCTTTATCCCCTTGATTGATCCATTATATTACCATAAATCCCTATAAATGGTTAGTAAAACCAATAGTTACCCCCAGCCAATGTGATTGTTCTATTAAAAACCAACGTTCACTAAGGTGGTATGGGGTCAAAACCTCTTCTGATCATATTTGGGGCAAGAAACATCCATTGAGTAGCTATTTTGGGCTCCTAGGGTGCCAAAAGTTTGACTCACAGCCAGAGGAGTTTTGGGAGGGGAAACCCATGGCTTTTCAAAAAAAAATGTCAACGTTTAACTCTACCGGGTAATGTATTCATCCAGGAACCATGTTCCAGTCGTATTTTTGGAACAGCCATAGCCGGGGGGGAATCCAAGGGGATGTTACGAAAAATTACCCATGGGTGAAGATGTTTGGAAGTTTGGACGGGTGACAAAACTCGTACCTCAAGTTTTTTTTTGGACTTGTAATTTACTGTAGTACATTCTACTAGCATAGGATTACAATGGAACATCACAATATCCAGATGTACCTACCCTCTGGTAAGCTAACATAACTATGGAAAATCACAATTTTTCATGGGTAAATCCACTATTTCAATAGCCATTTTCCAGTTCGCTATGTGAGTTATTACCAGAGGGTAGTAATAGAAATGGGCTTCACTTGGGATTTGAAAGGGTGAACTCCGACTGAGGCCACCTGTGGTGGGCATGATGCCCTGATCCAGGATTTATGTTGGCACAGCTTTCAAGCCAGTCCGGGTGCCCGTTTTCGTCGGTGGCCCGGGGGCCCGTGGGTTGGAAAGTCCCAAATTTTCGGTGGTTTTTGGATATTGAGATTGACACCTCAAACCGTCTGAAAAAGTGTGAAGGGTTGAACGCACCTGCCAACATACTTGTCAATCGTCCCTGATCCCCAGCCCCTATCGAAAGGATGCGTCATGAACAAGCTTGGGACAGCTATGACAAGACCCTTTTAATCAGGGAGTGGATTCTGACAGGCTAATGACCTTGGGAGGTATCACATTGAAATACACTGTCACAATATTTTGTACAGTGATATTCACCCGATGTCCTTTAAAAGGCACTGTTCCCAGCCCCAGGCAGGGAGGGCCTCACGTCGCCACCCCTGCTGATAAGTGACTTGGCATTCAAAAAAATCCGGCGGGTTGAGATTTCAGCCACCCTGGCGGGCAAATTCTAATCTCTTCACGGTTTTCTTTCGAAGGACTGAAGGGATATGATATCACACAAACTGTTCATCGGTATTTGGTGTCTAAGAGTTAGAAATTCACCAACAAAATCACCACAAAGACTTCAGAATCGTATGACATCATGCAAACATCAGGGTGAAAAATGGCTTAAACTGCTTGCAATGTGGTGCCCCCAAGTCAAAACTTGATTCCTAAACGCCATGATCTAGTTCGATGCTATCTAACATCAACAGTTAAACATTATAATTTATAGTTCAATGGTTGTGTTTACCAACTTGCCGCTATTATCATATTCCCAAACCATAGTTGACTATAATCGATGTACTCCTAACCAACAAACCAGCAGTTAAATAAAATGTTCATAAGCCAAGTTAGTACAAAGAATGCAATCCCGTTCTTGGTTAAGTCCTCGATTTTGGTGTTAAAGCAACTATGTTGCTATCATAAAATCCATCCAAAACCAACTATAGAAATTCCCATTCTTGTTGGTTAAATCATATTAAACCTGGATGAAATCACATCTGGTTGGTGGTGAAATCGACCATGAATTTTATGAATTTCCATTCAGTTGGGAATTTCATCATCCCAACTGACTTTCACTCCATCATTTTTCAGAAGGGGTTGGTTGAAACCACCAACCAGTCATAGAATTCTTCCAAAATCAACGAAATTCCCATTCTTGTTGGTTAAATCATATTAAACCTGGATGAAATCACATCTGGTTGGTGGTGAAATCGACCATGAATTTTATGAATTTCCATTCAGTTGGCAATTTCATCATCCCAACTGACTTTCACTCCATCATTTTTCAGAAGGGGTTGGTTGAAACCACCAACCAGTCATAGAATTCTTCCAAAATCAACGAAATTCCCATTCTTGTTGGTTAAATCATACGTATTAAACCTGGATGAAATCACATCTATTTGGTGGTGAAATCGACCATGAATTTTATGAATTTCCATTCAGTTGGGAATTTCATCATCCCAACTGACTTTCACTCCATCATTTTTCAGAAGGGGTTGGTTGAAACCACCAACCAGTCATAGAATTCTTCCAAAATCAACTATAGAAATTCCCATTCTTGTTGGTTAAATCATATTAAACCTGGATGAAATCACATCTGGTTGGTGGTGAAATCGACCATGAATTTTATGAATTTCCATTCAGTTGGGAATTTCATCATCCCAACTGACTTTCACTCCATCATTTTTCAGAAGGGGTTGGTTGAAACCACCAACCAGTCATAGAATTCTTCCAAAATCAACGAAATTCCCATTCTTGTTGGTTAAATCATATTAAACCTGGATGAAATCACATCTGGTTGGTGGTGAAATCGACCATGAATTTTATGAATTTCCATTCAGTTGGGAATTTCATCATCCCAACTGACTTTCACTCCATCATTTTTCAGAAGGGGTTGGTTGAAACCACCAACCAGTCATAGAATTCTTCCAAAATCAACGAAATTCCCATTCTTGTTGGTTAAATCATATTAAACCTGGATGAAATCACATCTGGTTGGTGGTGAAATCGACCATGAATTTTATGAATTTCCATTCAGTTGGCAATTTCATCATCCCAACTGACTTTCACTCCATCATTTTTCAGAAGGGGTTGGTTGAAACCACCAACCAGTCATAGAATTCTTCCAAAATCAACGAAATTCCCATTCTTGTTGGTTAAATCATACGTATTAAACCTGGATGAAATCACATCTATTTGGTGGTGAAATCGACCATGAATTTTATGAATTTCCATTCAGTTGGGAATTTCATCATCCCAACTGACTTTCACTCCATCATTTTTCAGAAGGGGTTGGTTGAAACCACCAACCAGTCATAGAATTCTTCCAAAATCAACTATAGAAATTCCCATTCTTGTTGGTTAAATCGTATTAAACCTGGATGAAATCACATCTGGTTGGTGGTGAAATCGACCATGAATTTTATGAATTTCCATTCAGTTGGGAATTTCATCATCCCAACTGACTTTCACTCCATCATTTTTCAGAAGGGGTTGGTTGAAACCACCAGCCAGTCATAGAATTCTTCCAAAATCAACTATAGAAATTCCCATTCTTGTTGGTTAAATCATATTAAACCTGGATGAAATCACATCTGGTTGGTGGTGAAATCGACCATGAATTTTATGAATTTCCATTCAGTTGGGAATTTCATCATCCCAACTGACTTTCACTCCATCATTTTTCAGAAGGGGTTGGTTGAAACCACCAACCAGTCATAGAATTCTTCCAAAATCAACGAAATTCCCATTCTTGTTGGTTAAATCATATTAAACCTGGATGAAATCACATCTATTTGGTGGTGAAATCGACCATGAATTTTATGAATTTCCATTCAGTTGGGGAATTTCATCATCCCAACTGACTTTCACTCCATCATATAAAAATCATATAAAAATCATATAAAAATCATATAAAAATCATATAAAAATCATATAAAAATCATATAAAATCACGGAAATCCACCATTTTTCCTGGTTTTTTCTCCGCCATGTTTGCGGAGGCGCAGGCGGCGGCCGCGTGCTGCTGCACGAGGTGCCGGATCTGGACACGCCGCTGGGGCTGGGAGCACCGCAGCTGAGCCTCGGCGGAGATGTATTGATGGGGATCTCATTTTTCCTAATATGTATCTAATATATTATATATATACCGTGTATATAGATACATATATATATTATATATGTAATTATATGTGTATATATATATATATTATAGTGGATGTGGATAGGATATTAGTGGCATGTTAATGGAATATCACTATATATCGCTACTTATTCTGTGACAGATGAAGATTTGTGAAAACGAATAGATCTATAGAGGGCCAACTCAAATTTTTGAGGGTCTCTTAGAGTGTCTGAAAATGCAGGATTAACCAGTATGGACACTACAAATAATGGGGATAGTGATGATCGAGGAGTGGATCTAGGGGTACTCAATTTTCAGACACATGCAGATGTTTGTTAAGCCACCAAGGATTTATTGGCCAAGCATGATGGGAATATGTTGTGGGGATTACATCTACCAACCATGGTATAACCAACCATGTATAACTAGGATATCATGGGATATGATATGGTGATGGTGGAAATGAGGACTTTGGTAAGCAAAAAAACATGTCAAAGCCACCAAAGATTCTGGAAGTGGGAGGTTAACCGGTACAGATCGGGACTTCACCATTGAAAATGAGGTTTACCCTCTGGTAATTTAACATAGCTATTGAAAATGGCCATTTATAGTGGATTTACCCATTAAAAATGGTGATTTTCCAAAGTTACGTTAGTTTACCAGAGGTTTAACCATCAACAATTGTGAATTGAGCAAAATTGAAATGACGATGATGAGAAACTTGGGGGTGCTATATGAAAACAAAAAACATCATCTTGAAAGTGTGTTCCTTTGAAAAGGTCTGACACATTTTACTTAAGTTGACTTTGGGCTTATATAGATAGGGAGTTGAAGCATCCAACATGGGGGTATGTTGTCAACCTATTTTCAGCCAGACCCCTCTAGAAGCTGTCCATGTCACCCTTGCGCAGCTCAGGAAAGTCCATGCAAGAGCCACCTGACTTGATAATGATGCCAGTGGGTGCCAGGATGATGTATGGCCTCCCGAAATAATCAGGAATAAATGGTGAATTAAAAATCACACCCATTGACTTGGCAGTGTTGAGTTCGAACATCAAACATGCCCAAAGAAGAGGTTTATGTTTATGAGTCTTTTTCCCACATTCCATCATCTTTATGCCATATCCCAGGACATCCCAGCTATATTTGTTGAGGGGAACCACCCTTCAGCCAGGATAATGTGTGACCCGTTGCGGTCTTATGAAGTGTTTGATTGAGCTTTGAATCTGGATAAATGATGATAAATGATTAGAAAAAGATGATGGCCTACACAATTGGGAAGCAATTATTTAGTGTTTTTTTTCACAGAGTTTTGATTTAATAATATTTAATGTAAATATCCAGAAGTCATCCTGAAGCCATCCTTCCATATATTGTGTCCACGTCAGTTCTCGTTGATTATTTGTGTGAAGGTCATGACTGCCAGCTGCCATTGATCCAGTCCAGTCACGAACCATCCTAGACTATTGATGGTCAATATTCCTATGTTTTGAATTCAAGTCCCATCATGTCCTCATTACAAAACCTCCTATTTTCCAGAGATGAGGTGGATTTCTTCAGTTGATCACTTTTGTTGGTAGATATTGAATGATATTCAAAGATCAAAAGTGAAGAAATGATCAACCAAAGTGATCAAAAGTAATGATATTGATATACAATATATGATATATATTATATATCATAATTATATATATTGATCACATTTAATGATATTTACTGTTGTTTCAATGAGATTTATAGATCTTCGATATCCCCATGGGATCCCATGGATCTGCCCGAGGTCAATCTTTTGGGCACGGTGAACTCTGTGAGGCCCGGTGAAAAACAGCTGTCGCTTCGGAAAGTATGTGTTGGGTATGTTTGATAATGGTTCAACAGGTGTCACTTTAGTACTATCACGTGCTATACTATGTTTGAAAAGTGGAAAGAGCATCTTAGATCATCTTTGAGAGTGGTACTAAAGTGACATAAAGTGACATTGGTATCCACAGGGGTTTCCCCAAAAAAAAGAAGCAGCGAAATGTTTGCCATTGCCAGGCCGCACCCGTCGATGTCAACGGACCCAAGATGTGTGATCCTGCTGTGTGCTGGACACTTCGGGCTAACTTTGTGTCAGGCTGGGTGGTACAGTGGCGGGGAGAGCTAGTAGAGGTCCATCTGACATCACGTGACCAGGTTGAAATTGGGATTTAGAGGTGTCCGGTTACCCTGGTTGTACAAAACGACACTACTTGCAATGTCTATATATGTTACGTAACTTACATATTTATCTGCAGTAATTGCTGTATGAATCTGTATGATACTATTTTTGTATGTATGGGTATGATGTATACATGCAAGCACAGTGCTTCGATGCTTAAAGTTTCATCAGATGGATATCTGAGGCGTTTTTTTGTCAAGCACCCAGCTTCATCCGCGTTGAGGAATTGGGACTGCAATCCCTTCATGTTTGCTGATTAGAACATATATATATAATCCCCCAGGTTTCAACACACTACCCATGAATCATGAATCTCCGCCTGAAATACTGACAGAAATCCACCTCATTGAGCTCATTGTTTCTCGCCACTCAAAGTTGTGCAGGTGTCTCGAGATTTACAAGAATCTTGGCAAGTGGAAGTGATGGGATACTCCATGGGTGTCTATTCAATCCAGTGTCACATGGAAGGTGAGAGTCCAGGGCGACCAAAACATGACCTGTCGACTAGTATGAACCATTTCTACCAACTGGTTTTGGTCAAATCTCTGGACTGCCAAAACTTGTTAGATTTGGTGGTGTTTTTTTCCGGTTGAATCACAGCTAGATTTGCTAATGGTTTGAATGTGTTTTAGTTGCTTGTTGTTGCGAAAATCGAGGTTTCCAGGTTGCAAACTCAAAGACAAACGGACGCTGGCGCCTGGCGCAATGTTTTTGAGGCCGCGGCGGGCGCTGGCAGCACCTGGGTGGCGCAAGCGCCACAGATGCAGCAGGTTGGTGACTCGTAAATACCAAATGATGAGTGAAAAAAAACACCTGTGATTTTCCCATAGGATCCATGGTGCTGGTATATATATACTAACATTGGGGGTATATTGATGGTAAATGTTACCATATATAGCATACATGGATCCTATGGGTTTCTAAATGAAGATTCTGATTGGAATACTGGTAAACATTGATACATTGGCAACTGTCCATTTTTCGAAATTTAATTGGTTGCAAGTGGTTGCAACATCTCATCCTGATAGTCATTCATAACCCCATATCAGGATACTTGGATGAAACAAACCTCATTTATCTCTGGGTAGTAGTTAAATAGCGCCAAACTGGGTGTCATGGTTGAAGTCACAAGGCTGCCATATCGGGCCATCGGCACAGGTACCCTTAGAAGGCCATCACAAGAGTGGCTATGGACGAGAGGCGATAAAAACAGCCTGAAAGGGGGAGGTAAAAAGGATGATAAGAGGATGATATGAAAAGGTGAATGGTTTGGAAATCTCTACCTATTCCGGTTGATCTTTCTGTTTAAGTCCAGCTTTGTCCATCTAGATATCCTTCTATCTTTGCATCTCTGTTTGTCTAGTTGGTGTAGTTGATCTTATTTGCGCTAAGTAGTCTATTAAGCTTCCCATCGATCTTTCCATCCTTCTATATCTACCTACTTGTCTATCTGCTCATATTGAGTATTCGCATCCGTCCAAACTCAAAACACAAACTGCAGACTGCACTTTGATTTAGAAAATCAAACACAGGTTCTATGTATTGTCATTTGATTGGAAAAGCTTTCAGGGAAGCAGGAAACAGCTCACCGCTTCCACATTCTGTCCAGGGGCAGACTACAGCAGCTTCAGAAGTGTTGTGCGTTCGATTCTCCACGCCGCTGGGACTGCAATACGGGTTTAATGAATCGTAAATGGAGGTTGATCCAACCAGAAACATGAAGGATTTAACCAGCAACAAAACATGGAAATTATAAGAGATTATATCACAACATATCACAACTGATTCATGTGTAAAAATAACAGCTGGTTTAGGTTAGCGAATTCAGCCAACATCCCTCGAGGCAAGCTAACTCTCTGGAGAATGTCTATGTCACAGACTCCACAGGGCACATCATGCTGTATCAGATCCGCTACGATGCCAGCGTGGGCGTGACTGCCAGTGGCTGGGATCTGCACTTGGGGATGGTGGGGATGGTGGGGATGGTGGTTGTGGAAGGGCTAATGGTTAGCGGTTACTCCAGTATGAGCCGACCCGTTTTAGCTTGGGGGTATGGCTTGTTGCTGCAACATGGTTTAAAATCAGGACCCCGTCCGTTTGCTTATTATACGTCGATATAGCAGGAATTCCATGTCCGAAATCCTTCAACATACATCAACTGGTGGTTGTCCTTCCCAACTGAGGTCGCGTACGGACCTATGCAGGTTCCGAAATGCTGGGAACAGCCATCTATGACTTGGAGCTGGTCACACAACAACTGCTGGATGGAAAACGCATCAGTTCTGTGCAGTTGTCGATGGCCGATGACTGGGCCTTGGTCTTCAGTCGTGATCACGTACCTTGGATTGGGTGCTGATGGCGGCATAATGTGAGCAATTCTCCAGGTTATGTACCCAAGTTAGGTAGGCCATCTACCTGGTGATGTGTGTAGAGATCAATTATCAATTAGCCTAATCAATGGTTGAAATTTCCGGAAAAAGGTTATGTTCGCCAGTTGCATCTTCATCCATGCAGGTCAAAAAAAATCTGTCAAGTCCTAAGTCCTCGTCTTGTACGATATAAATGAGGGGCATCTGCATCGACAACACACAGATGATGTTCACTATAGCGTACCAGGGCTTCGATCCATAGCCATTTCACCAGATGGGCAGTTGATCACCATCAAGGCGTGATCAGAATGCTGAGGTGATTCGCTTGGTGTCTTTGCAACGTGGAGTTTTGAAGGTGGAGCAAAAGATGCTGGGCATCCAGTGTAGCAGCTATTCTGTTGCTGGGCGAATGTTTAAGACACGTCTTGCTTCTCTTCTTAGGAATGTTATTCTACTTGAAGTTTCAGGTTGAGCAGTGGCCAAAATCTCCAATTGCTGATGATGGCTCATGGATGTACTTAGATAACTTATACTACCTTATACTATCTTACATCTTATACCATCTCATACTCATACGACAGTGTGTTTGCAAGTTCGATGGGGATGTTTCCATTGTAGGCTTCCAGTTGGAAACTTCGCCCAGGTGAGAGGCACGATGTCTCCAGATGGTGCCTATGTGGTCTGCGGCAGCGAAAGCGGTGAGCTGCTCTTTTGGGGTCGCGATGGCAAGCCTGTGCTGCCGCCGGCTGTACCACAGGCGCTGATGTGGTTGGATCAGGGGCGGTTCAGGGCCTGAAGATTTGACATCCGGCTATGTCTACCCTCTGGTAAACTAACGGTTACTATGGAAAATCACCATTTTTAATGGGTAAATCCACTATAAATGGTCATTTTCAATAGCAAACTGTAACAAATTACCAGAGGGTACTGGGTGCATCTTAGAGTTCAGCCTCAAAAAAGTTCCATGCCTCAGGAAAGGTGGAAACCAGCGAATGATGCACAAAAATGTGGGGATCCGACAGTCTTGCACCACCCTGAAAGGACTAGCCGCTAGCCTGAAGTCCCCACAGATTTGGGTAGTTACCCTCTGGTTATGTCAAAATAGCTATTGAAAATGGCCATTTATAGTGAGTTTTCCCATAAAAAAATGGTGATTTTCCATAGCTACGTGAGTTTACCAGAGGGTATTACAAAAGCTATGAAGACTTGTGTCGAACCTGGCTCTTCTTTTTCTATGAGGGTTTCAAAAGGCCAGCCAACAAACACAGCTAGCAGAAGGTACATTCCCATGATATCCCAGTAAATCATATTAATCATATTAGTAAATTGCCATTTTTATTCATTGTCCCATTTCAAACAGCTGGCAGCTTGCATCAGGTGCGCTTGGCAGGTCCCTTGATGGATGTGGTTTGGTCATCACGACACCACTTGGTGGCCTGCTGTGCGATGGACGAAAATGCCCTGCCCTTGCTGGCCTTCGTTGGGGGAGAGGAGAACGGCAAGCCACTGCCTGAGAAGGACAGGTTGAGCCGGATACAGGTTACATTGGATGGGGTTGTGTGTTAGTGGAACAATGAACTGAACAGCCTTTTTAGTGATGTCATAGTCATATCTCGATTTCTATGTACATATTTATACAGTGTAGTTTTCGCACATTCAAGTGAACTATGGTTCTTGTCGATTGGGATTCAGTGAACACTGGGACTACACAGGAGTAGTGGGACTTCAGAATCAAAACACTTTGTGAATAGGTTTTTGGTTGCCATCCTCACCCATGGTCCAATGGTGCCCTTCAGATTTGTCAATCCTTTTTCGGCAAAACATAGATCGACTTTATGCTGATGAAATTCCCCAGAAATCGGCTGAAGACTGGTATATTGATTTATTCCCAGTTCAATCCATTCTATATCAATTTATGGTAAATATACCCTCTGGTTATGACTAACAGTTCGCCATGGTTTTTCGATGGCCCTAATCGAAATAGATGGTTTACCGTTCTTTAAAATGGTGGATCTTTCCACGGCTATGTTAGTCATAACCAGAGGGTACCAATTTCCATCACCCTGGTAATGTCAACCCTGGATTTATGGTAGTGTCAACCCTGGATTGATAAAACCCTGGGCTGTTTAATTGGGAGGGTACCATTTAAGTATTAGATTGTGACTATTGGAGGAGTATCCCCCTAATTAATAAACCGTGGTTTATTAATCCGGGATTGACGTTAAATTATAACGACCAAACTGCGACCTCACTGGAATCATGGTTAGTGAGGGAAATCATCCCCAAATGGAAGATCGGTGGCCTTAATTCAGGTTAGTGAATTATTATAATTTACCCAGATTTATGGTAAATATATATGACAATAACATACTTCCAAGGTCTGGAGGAAAATGGACTCAGCGACTCAGCCTGTTGAAGTTGATGCGTGAGGAGGTCTCCCTGCCGCACAAACCACCACCACTAACCGCCACGAATCCAGAGAGCACCTTGTACCTCGGCAATGGCGGTGGAAGTTTTGGAGTATAGTGAGATACCCTCTGGTTATGTCAAAATAGCTATTGAAAATGGCCATTTATAGATATTTATAGTGGGTTTTCCCATAAAAAATAGTGATTTTCCATAGCTATTTTGACATAACCAGAGGGTAGTGAGGAAGTTAAAGAATCAAACATAGGGGATTCAACTGATTTAACCACTGAAGATTTGGAGTTTTTGTTGGCTGTCCAAAACGAATTAGACGTGTTGAGTTCCAAAAACAGCTTCAAGTTCCAGTAACATTTCACATCAAGATGTCATGGTTTTCCAATGTACCCTTTGGTAAACTAACAGTTACTATGGAAAGATCCACCATTTTTAATGGGAAAAACCACTATAAATGGCCATTTTCAATAGCTATTTTGACATAACCAGAGGGTAAACCCCCAAGAAATATCAAGAAACTGGGGACCCCAGCAGTGCCATGAACTCCCCTGGCCATGGCCATGGCGAAAAACTTCCCTCGCGGCAGGTTGGCCATGTCCGGCATTTCCGCTTCTATCGACTCAGACGGCCACCGCAGGCCGGAATTCTGTGTTGTTTACATCAAGATGTTCACTTCAAACTATATCATAATATAGTGTTATAATGTGTTATATATATAATATACAATTTATATATATATATAATATATGATTATAAATTAATAACATGATATAATTTGAATGATTTGGGGGTATAGCATGGTATAGCTTAGGCAGCTGCCAGGTGTCCATGGCTTCGCCCATCTTTCGGTGCCAGGTGGGCAGAGCATTGGATCCACAGTCACGACCACAGTCAGCGCTCGGCCTTAACGGTGGACGAGAAGCGTCGCATGAAGGACGTGCCGGTGGGACAATGCCGGTGTTGTAGGGGGTAGCCCCTAGAATTTGGGGAAAATTGATGGGGTTTTATGGAATTTCAGATGGATTTCTTTGGGATTTGATACGATTTTACGGGATTTGATGGCGTTTTAATGCATTTGATGGGATGTTGCAAAATTGTTGGGTCGTCTTGGATGAATTTGGGATCATCATTTTCGCAATTAATCGAAAAGAAGTTTCACAAAAATGAGGCTTAAATCTTTTTCATGTGACCATGTTGGTGAAGACAATGCCAGATGACATGGATGAGTCTAGGTAAATTAGGTTCAAAATGATCGACTCTGTCCATTAATTTAATCAGGGGAACCCCATCATGGGTTTACAGAAATTATTTCGCAAAGGTTTGCCTAGATATAACTTACTGGTGCGTGCTAAACGTAGGGTTGCTGGATGGGTTGCTGGGGGTTGCTGGGATGATGAAATTACTGTGATGACTGGGATCATTCCCGAAAATTCCCTGCGTTTAGCACCAGGTAAATAGGATTCAAGGAACATCCAAGGCAGATCATCGGAAGCAGAAATTGGATGCCTAAGAACTGGTAAGTTTCAAGGCTTCAAAACCATGTGTTTTGTTCTGGTAAAGCGAGGGTTTTTTTTGCACCTGATTTTTTGTGAAAGATATGGAATTCCATGGAATTCCTTATTGATGATGCCGCATCATGAAGGGATTCATGCAACTGGCTGCGCTTCGCCAAAAACATGTATAGTCAATGTCGATCTCTTCCCAGAAAAGATGAATTTGTTGCTAGATTGAATATCTCGTCAAGCGTTGTTGGATCCGGTTTTTCAAGACCCTTACCCACATTCTATCCGAATTCCTCTGGAATGATTCCCCTCTGCCAATCAAACATGGCCCGTTCGGAACATAATCCATGTGCAGCAGCCATTTATGGATGATTGTCCTACAAAACGATCGCATTCTCCAGTACGATGTTCGATCACCAGAGGGTTATATAATGTTATATATATATATACTGCTCCAGCATCAGTTCTACTGGGCACCCAAATCAGCTCTTACAGTACAAGCGAAAAGCAACATGTGTTACCACCCAACTTGGATTGTTGCCGCGAAAAGACGAGGACGCATTTAACCTTTTGGTCCCCAAGACCCTCCAGTCATCAAACATAGCCATGGGAAACCTCGATGTTTTTCACAAAAAAATCATAAGGTGCATGACTTTGCACTGCCAGGTTGGATCAAAAAACGCGTTTTCTCAAGCTATACCCCCCGTATTTGACTTGATTTGCTAGAGATTCCTTTTAATTTAATTAATTCGGTAGTGAAGTCACCATTTGGAGATCTTTGGGAATATCTTGGGAATATCTTTGGAATCAAAGATAGTCTTGACATGTGGATTTAACGATGACAAATAGGGATTTATCCCAGGAAATGTCAACCCTGAATATCTTGGGATATCTTGGGAATATCTTTCCCTTTGGCGAAAATCGAAGCTTCAACCAGTCCAGGAGAACATTTTGCTTCGCATCCTGGATAAGAAGGCGGAAGAGACACTTGGAAGACCGTGGATCCTGGCCGGAGCTGAAAACGAAACCAGAAACCAAGCAGGGCCAAGAGATAAAATTGAGACCTTAAAGATAAAACCTATCAGATTCAGGTTTCAGGCTAGTTTTGTTCCAAACCTCATAACATGATGCTGGGTTTCTTTGTGATTGTTTTGGGGGATTGGGGGAAGGATGTGGCTTGGACAATCCGTGCGAGGGATTGTAGTGAGTTTTCTTTTAATGAATGTATATTTATATGATTATATATATATATATATAAATTTATATAAGCCACTAAGAGGATCCAAGAGGACCCAGATGGTTTGCTCCTGTTATAAGTTGATTCAGT